ACTGTTTAAGTCGACTTGTTTAGCTGAAGGCTTCCGGTCAAGCATCCCCGCCATTTGGTACCTCGTCGTGTCACGTGCACGATCACTAGCTAGCTAAGCGTTCGTCTAACGGCTGGTTTTGGTTCGTAAATACATCTATTGGTTTGGACGATCAATTGTTGGCTTTTGCTTTGTCTTTGGTACGCGAGAATAAATTAATTAGAAGTTGTTGAACGAGATATCACGTCAAACCCTTAATATCTCTCAACCTCTAAAAAACAAAGCAGCACATAACAAAGAAAAAATGAGAGAAAAAGAAAAGAAAGAAAGAAAACGTTGTAGCTATAAATGATATGAGTTGGAAAGACGAGATCCAGTTGTTCTACTGACTATTTAATAAGTTATAGGTTTCACGCCTAATGCTTTTTTTTATCACACAGAACACGAGCTAAGTAGGGTATGGTTGAGTTTTTGTACTCGCTAATGCGAGCATATAGTTTTCTATATAGGCTTCTGGTCATGCCTGATGAGATGCAAGGGGAGAGTTATGAATGAAGAGGGTGGTGTGAGTTAGATAAAATGGATTAAGTCCATTTTTCACATGAGCCCATGTGTCTGTCAACCAGAATATTAACAAGCTGGTTAAATGTCACGTTGCTTACCCTGCTGACAACCTTTAACATCCTGCGTAATAAGGCATAGTCTTTCTTCAGTAGCCCTGGAAAAACTAAAGGGGAACAATAGAGAATAATAGGCAGAATGCGAAAATTAATGAATTGTAGGAGTAAGGGTTGGGTTATACCAGAATGTCTTAACTTCTTGATGTAGGAAGTTAGACGGAATATTTTCTTAGAAATCACCAAGATATGAGAAGACCAGGAAAGATCAGATAGGACTTGGTTTCTATTTCAGTGCCATCTATGTTGCACACCTCATGAGTGCTAACTAGTTTGTTTAGGTCAGATTTATACCTAAAGGTGAAATTGACTGTTTGGCATTTAGAGGGATTTAAGGTTAGGCCGTTTTTCTTGGACCACTGGCTGATTTCTGATAAAAAGCCATTTAGTTTGGAGCAGTCACTTTGACATTTGACAGGCAAAGATACAGTCAGGTCGTCAGCATATTTAACAAAGTCAATGTCATTTGAAGATGGTAGGTCATGTAGAAAGAAAGAAAAGAGAAGTGGGGAGAGTACAGCACCTTGGGGGAGTCCAGCTTCAGTGAGCACAGCAGAGGAGGATTCACCTTTGTATACAGTGTACTGCATTGTTTGAGAAGTAGGAGTGCAACCAGTTTGTGACCCAGGACTCAGTTTGTGTCATAGAGAGCTTATTTAACAAGAGACATCTAGGTACAGAGTCGAAAGCAGAAGTGAATTTGAGGAACGTGCAGCGAACGTATTTGGCACCTTTATCAAGTGATGAGACGATACTGTTTTGTACGACGGCTGCAGCGTCTAACGTGCTCCTGCCCTGTTTATATGCAAATTGTTTGGGGTCTTCAAAACTTTTAAAGGAGTTTAAGAAGTACTAGTTCTTCCATAAGCTTTAGAAACGGGGAAGTAATGGCAATGGGTATGAACTTTACGTTTTTGTTATTACCAGGTTTCGGGACAGGGACTATTTTAATGTCTTTCCATGGAACACGTACAAGATTTTTGGAAAAAGAAGCAATTAGGATGTTAGCAAGTACGCCATCTCTGGCTTAGTAGACGTGATATCCGGTTATCGACTAAAGGGCGTGTGCACTGCTCAGCAGCCACCTCCGTTCTTTATACCTGTGAGACATGGCCATTGAAAGTGGAAGATACGAAAAGGCTAGTTGTCTTTCATCATAGCTGCTTGCATTCTATCTCCTGTGTTAAATGGTAGGTAAATAGAGTGAGAAATATTCAGGTTAGTTTTTGATCGAGTGTTGGGTAAAGAGGAAAGATCGATCGACGAGGTTGTAAAGTTACACATATTGAGACGGTTATGGCATGTGTTACGCATGTGTGCCAAGCCATCGATCACCTTCCTCGACAATGGGCAATGTTAACTGACTGAAATAGGATCGACCAGGATAGAAAAGACCTAGTGGTGGTCAAACCAAAACATAGCTTTATCAGTCAATGAAATCCACAACAACTAGTTTAAGTTATGCAGGGAGGTGTAGACTTCGTGACAGTTTGGGGTTTTCCGGATGCTAAGAACCAATGAAGGCTGGAGACAATTGGTGATATGGCTCAAAATCTTCATCCCCAATTGCTGGCGCAGATGCATTCCCCATTGGTGATTTATAATATCCAATAAGGGTCCACTGTTCTCCAATATTACTATTAATATTTTCCCCTCACCCATACTTATATTCATTAACTCTTTTTAACTTCTTTTTATTCTCTTCTCTTGCTTTGTGTGTGGCGACTCGGACTGCTGCAATTCTGTACAAAGTTGGCTGTTGGAACCAGTCATTCAATCACTAACATGTATGTTATAGCAACTAGCAGCAGGAATGAGAAAAGCAACTCAATCCATTTCGGATATAAATATGCAAAAGAAAATTAACCAACAACAACAACAACAACTGCATGTAACTTCAGGTCATGTTATGCATCTCCGTGTTCCTTCGTAAATAGGATGTTGATAGGCTATTTGCTGTTTTTAGACTGGTAACATGACTTAATTAGAGTCATATTAAATCTCTCTCTCTAGTTCCCACTTAGACGAAGGAATTAACTCGTTTGTCTTGGGCAAATGACCATTCAAATTAAACGTCAATCTCTAAATGATTAACCCAACCAAGTCTTTTACAGAATCTTAGGCTAAGAGATATAAGGCCTTTGGTTGTGTCTTATCCAAGCATACATACTTTTTCTACAATATCCTTACTGATAAAATTGGAATTTGTCTTTACTGGCTGTTGTAGGCTAAAAACAATGGATTTTTATAATTGTAGAGCCTGAAGAGGAATTCATTGAAAACAACTGCATGTGGTGTCCTACGTCACTATTTTCCTGTTGATTATTCAATTTAGTTATGTGGACTTAACTAATTTAGCTAATGGGTAGTAAAGCCAGGGACAATAAAAGAATGCGGTCTGAGTCACAAGGCATAAACACTATTTGCGTAGAGCAGAATGATGCTCAGGAACGATTCGCGTACTTTTGGAATTGAGTGGGCGGTTGTTACTTCCCGGCTGCCCACACCTTGGAATTTAATTGATTCTTCGGGTACCTGAAACAGAAAGACGGCTAGCATTGAGTGACCGCAGAGCCCAGGGGACAACTGCTTGATACTGGCCGGCCACACACGGTCTGTACGCACTGGTTTCTTGGTTTGATTTCGTATTGGTAGACTTACCGCCGGATACGGACCACCGTAGGGTAAGTCGGGATGTAGAATTGTCGGAATCGACCCTTTCTAACCCCCCTCTCTCCAGAGTGGAGAGACAGCGCAGCTGGATGGCATGCTGGTCATCTGAGGGAAACACCTTACTGCTGTTACACCCCTTTTCCCCAGCAGTACGACTTCGCCCACAGACCCACAGCATAGTGTAAAAATTCTTACACAATGGTGGTAACTTCTTTTAGTCTGATCACTATCCTAACAACCTTCCTGGCATGGTAGGACCTGCAGGAACATCTGTCCCAGCCAGTGTATCTTGTTGGGTCATCGCGATGTGCAAGCTCGGTGACCACCACGTCAATGTAGCAGTTATCGGTCGGGAAACACTATTTTTGGACCGTTTTCAGGTCTGAATAAGGAAGTGTGAAACACTATACAAAATGACACACATACTTAATTGAAACCTCACAACTCTCTTATGATACAAAACGCATTAATTGTGCGGATTTCAATGGTTTTTGTCATACCTGCATCATATAAAACCGGTAAGCTCAATTGTAACAAATGTTTCTAAATAACTTAAACTGTATGGAATCATAATGAGAAAGTGAACTGCTAATGACTGATAAAAAAGCGCAGACCAGAAGTTCACATTAGTGAGAGCAAAAAATGAGCATTAATAAAGAGGCGAAGTTAAACAATAGTGTCCCAGATAAGCGAACTCCCCAGAGACCTTGAACGCATGCTAGTCGTTGGCCAACGACACCTGTCATTATCATATGAACGCTACTCACTAACTAAGGAGTGAATTTCACTCAGATCACGTTTTTAAGTACTGTCTGGACACATTATTAATATCTCCTTAGGGTTAAGGTAGGTATTAGGGTTGGGATCATGGTTATAATTTGGGTTAGGACCAAGGTTAGGGTTAAGATTAAGGAGAGATTTAGAGCTGGTATTACTTATTTCAACTTGTTTTCGTACCCAGAATTTCCTAGTAAGTAGTCATTGATTCTCCTGCTGGAAGCCATAGTAATTCAACGGAGGTCTTTTGGGGAAGACTGCGAAACAGGATAAGAGCGATAAATGGGTTACAAATAAAGCCCACCTTAAGTCACCTCGGTGAATATACACGTACAGACGTTAGTCCAACTTCCAAAAATGATACTCCTTAATGTAATTCGGAGGTATTTTTAAGTCATTTAGGAGTAAAAAATAGTCTGCTTATAGTGTGACCCCAAGAAATGTCTGTTGCATTCCCAAATAGCCCTGCACATAGAATTTCGGAAGAAACCCGTGAAGCTGAGGATTTATTTCAGGCTATGTACGCGAATCTTAATGCTAAATATTGGGTGTGGAAAAAAACCACGGTTTTAAAAGCTTGGAGTGGACGTGTGAATAACAGGACTATTGATTAGTTACTTGGTCCAGCATCCTTCCAATTTTACTTATTTTACCAAAACTTAACCGTTTAGACTCCTTAAGTCCATCACTTGTCTAAAATTCATAGACTATGTTGTGGGCTCGACTTGATAGAGCTCGAGCTCTATCAACATCGACAAGGACACCAAGCCAGACGAAGCTCCATATCTCAAAAGTACCATATTAAATCAACGAAAATGAGACATAAACTGGTTTTACGAGGTGACTAGTATATGATGGAACAAATGTGAATGACACGAGTACATGTGAACTCACTATTTTTGAATACTTCCAGCCATTGGTTTGAGATGAAATCGGAATGTTCTGCTTGAGTGAGTAGAAACGATGCAGCATCCTTAACGTGTTTAGATGACAAATTAACTGCATTAAGTTTGTGTTTTATCTGGTCTCTTAGCAACGCATTAGAATCCATCGAGTAGCATTTGACAACCGTTGAAATGACCGGAACTTTTCTTTACCTTGAGCAAATGCGTTTAAACACAATCCCTATAGTAACACAGACGGAGACACAAGATATATGCAGTCATAAGGCTGCATGGTTTATTGCAATGAAAAAATCTTATTGATATTATTCGTAATTTAGGATTTAAACTTTCAGATCAAGAATACAGATGGTATGTGAGAAATCACACCCTAGTCACAATGCATTCGACATCGCTGCTAGTTTCATTGTAACCTTTGACTTGTCTCTGCTAAAACGCTCTTACATTCTGGTCTAGACGGTACCTCAATATTGAATCAGTGAGAAAGAATTCTGAAAAACCTGGTATGATGGAAATAATGTGGCTGAAGCCAAACGAGATAGTACACCTTACGATGAATGCAACTAAATTCACTATTCATGAATTGTTTCAGCATGCGGAAGCCGCCATTTCGGCATAATTATAAGCTCTGGAGCCACATCGAGCAATTAAAATCATAAGTCTAATTCATTTATAGATTTTGCCAATTGCAACTACAACGAGCTTGTTAACTAAGATTTACTAGTTTATTCAAGAAATAAAGCCAAGAGTATTTGGTGTATAAGATAGTCGTGAGGTAGTAATGGAAGCCAGTTATTGTTATTTTCTAATCGGCCTTTTACGCTAATTGTTTATGCACCTGTGCAGACAAAGGAAAGTGGACATTATCAGGGCGAGTTCATATAGATAGCCATTAATATGTGTGGTGCGTGGGCTTCACACATTTTCCCTTTTGTTAATTTGAATGAAGCAAGAATAACGGTTTCCGCATAATAATGTGATACCATCATTTATTTCGTTGGCTTGTCATCAACTGCGCCAGCAACCTAGAAAAATTATCATCAGACATATCCAAGTCTATTTGATCTAATGGAAGAACTGATTGATAGCACCACTTTTAGCAGAAATAATTTACTAACACTTCAGAAATCAATAGCGACTGACTGACTGGTTTCAACATAGAACCTTGCACCGATGTGCAGCGGTTGGAGTCGCCACACTCCCTCCATGTATCACAGAAAGTAAGAGAAGGAATTAAAAAGAAATGCAAAGCAGAGACAGTAAACAGGGACGTGAGGCAAAAAGAATTGTAATATGGGACAACAATATAGATTTATTGGGTATTATAGGTTACAAGGAGTGGATGCATCTGCTCCACTGAGATCGAAGATTTTGAGCCATATCACAAATTGTCTCCAACCTTCATTGCTGTTTACCATCTTGAAATCCCCAACTGGTAAGTCCACACCTCTTGACCTGGCTGGCTTAAAGGAACTGCTGTGGATTTCATTGGCTGATGAAGCCATGTTTTGGTGTGATCAATCCCGTGTCAGCCAGGTGACATTGCCCGTTGTCGAAGAAGGCTATGGCTAGGCATGCATGCCTTTCACATGTCCTAACCATCTCAGTCGATGTAATTTCACGCATTCGTAGATACATTTCCCTTCTTTACACAGTACACACATCCTTTGGTCGATAACCAGATATCGCGTCTATGCTAGATGTGCCGTGAATTGCCAAATGCGAAACTATCCTTCTATATCCGTGCTGGCATTTCGTTACCGACCGAACTATTGGGGCTGAATCAGCTTCCCAAAGAAGCGAAGTGGTCAACGCGTTCTACCACTTCACTTCTGCTTATTTTTAAGCAAGGTGTCAATGTAGTCCAGTCCTGTAGAATCACCTTCTATTTGAAAGAAGGAAAGAATTGCAAGCTAAACACTCAAAGATTGCCGCTCCTCAGGGTATTCAGAAATGTGCATTTTATCGGAATGTTCAACTAGAAGGATTATACCATACGGGTGCATATTCTAAGTCATCGAAACTAATATTTCTCGGTAACAAGTCAATCGCTGAATTGTTGAAGTCAGAAGATAGAGACAAAAACATAAGCGCATCTGCAAGCCAACTCTCATAAACTGTCAGCCAACTCTCAGAAATTGCAATTCCATATTAGTTTGTTTATTAGATATATCACACAGTGAAACTATTATTACATACTGGATGACGTTTCGAACACAATTTATTGTTCATAATCATATCAATATCAAAACTGATATGATTATGAACAATAAATTGTGTTCGAAACGTCATCCAGTATGTAATAATACTGTTTCACTGTGTGATATATCTAATAAACAAACTAATATGGAATTACTTACTACCACAGTGCCCAAGTTCTACACATATATCTCAGAAACCGTCAATGTGCAGCTCTTACTACGCTGGACCTCACGCTGTCCCTCGAAGACTTTCAGAAACAATTTGTAATAACAGACGCGAATAACCAGAAAACTGGTTGGCGACTCGAGAATCCTTTATTCTTACGCCAATATATAGCCTACCATTAAGGTTATTACGCACAAGGTCTAAGAATAAATGATATAACAATAAATCACGATAATACTTCTGATAGTTTTCTATCTTCCTCTGAACAGCGACCAATGGGACAATGACTGTCGGATTGATGACACTCGCGAAAATTATGGAGGAGTGGGGTTTGAGCAAACAACCATGAATTGATCGTTCAATCTTCTACTACATTGACAACGACTTACATCAGTAGTAGCTATTTTAATACCTTCCATTGAGGCTTTGTTTACAGGGATGCTTGCAGAAGTTCTATCTTTTTTTACATCTTTCGGTGAGGCTTTATTCACAGGGCTATTGCTGTCTGAATGAGTTTCTACCCAGTCGGTTAATTCACATGGGAAAAGTGGGCAAAACGTGGGATAAAAGGGTAATTTTGATCGGCAAACACGTGGGCTAAAGATGGTGTAAACGCAACCGATTTTACCCACCTTGGCCACATATCCCACTTTTTCCCCGTTTTCCCACTTGACCCACGTTTTCACCCACTTATTCCATGTGCCGGAATTAAAAATGTACACACTTTTACCCCGTTTTCCCACGTTTTCAACGAACAAATTGCCCACTTTTTAAACGACCTGTTCATCCACTACTGCTATTTTCGTGACGAAAAGAAGCCCTCATTTTTCCTAGGCAAGCGCACGTATTATTAGAATTACTTAGCGTCTTACTAATGGCCTAAGAAAGTGCTTAAACACTGTCATCCTTTGTAGTAACTATTGCAATCGAACTTACCGAAGCTACGAACTTAGCGACCACTGCCTTACGATTCTTTCACTACATTCAAGGGTTATGCTACTGATATAAACGAAGGCCAATGGGGTGAAGTAATTTTATATTTTATACAGTAAGATATCGGATTTATAAAATAGTATTATTTTGAAAAAATTTAAAAAATGACTTCATAAATTATTCTGAAGACGGCGATTTGCTGGTCTGTAATGAAGGAAAGAGAGAATCATTTAAATACGCGTCAATTCCCATTAAGTGCAGAAAAACTGTGAACACTTTTATTAAAAACTACCTCTTCCGGTGATAAATCCCTTTTTTTCCGAACACGCTGGTCATGGCACCAAATTTTAGTGGCTTTTACAATCGCTTCCATTGTTTCCTCCCCGGTGGACCCGAGTTGTAATTGCTTACGAGTGATGACATCTGAATTTTTTAAGTATACAATTTCATTATTTCAAAAAGTCAACATACCAATTATAAGCTGGAAAAACGTGAAGTCACGGATACCAGTCTTATCAGCAGTCCCCTTATAACTCATCAATCTTGCGAGGTTTTTATTTAGGACTGCGCTCAGCAACCGGCGCGCTGAGCTGGTTGGGTCATTATGCACCTTGAATGAGAATTGGCACATCTGAAACGAATCAATTAAACAAACTTGGATGGAATTTCTTACTATTTCCTCGAAATACTTTCTGTTTTTAAGTTCCCGCTCAAAACCTTCCAGCATAGCAAATGTTTTCACCGGGAGCCTGACATCGCTTTCGCTATCGTCAGCTGTGCAACCACTGAAAGTTGCCAACGCGAAGTCAACACGTTTAATTAATTGCGCCTGCGTTTCACACAGTTTTTGAAGACAAACTGTTAAATAATTATAGGATAAACATAAAACAAGAGTGAACCGCAGCTGCTACTATATTATCAGAATCCGTCCTAGGCCGCTTAACATTACTATCCTTGGGAGACCTGAGAAAAAATGGCTATTAAATTCGATATTACTTACGTAATAGGTGTACTTGTAGCAGCCAACATGTGTGAAGAACTCTTCGGCAGTAATCCAAAACTACTTCATTGTAATGTAAGGTTGAATATCTGTCATACCTTATATTCTTTTTTGAATCACATGCACTGCTATCGAGGTCTGCGTAATCGGGGTCCTCGACGACATTGCACTGCTTGTCCATCAGGTAAGATGGGTAGTCGTTACTTACGAAAGCGTCATTTTTCGGTGCTCTATTTATTCAATCAAGTATGAAACGATGCTTACGTTTTTTGACGCTTTCGCGTGCAAACTACGGTCGACTTGGACGACTGACTGTAATTGGCAGTGCTATATGTTCTTTGCAGGGCCTTGTGCTTTGCGAGCGCCTCTTGCAAGTCATCTGGATAAATAGTTAAGTGTCGATACGACTAACCTGTCTCAAAAATCACCTCACAATTCTCCATCTTCCAATCAATCTTGGGGTAAACCTCCTCATAGGCATTATCCCAATTGTCTTGGCTGCAGACAACAAGCTTAGGTCCAAGAAACCAAGAGCTTCGGCATATCACTGCCTCATTTTTCCCATCAATCAGTGCATTACGGTATTTGCCCACTTATTCTGAAAGGAACGGTACATTAGTGAATGAAGAACGAAATACCTTAAAAGTCTCCTACTGGAATGTACAGAGTCTAAACTCGAACTGATATGCTGGCAAACCCAACCCACTTTATTGATCATGTCGGCTCTTACCTATGAACCACACTAACTGCAACCGACGCCAATAGAACAACACAAATTAACAATAGCAACAGCTTATCTAGCCGATGTGTGAGGCATTGGGATGAAAACGTTGAAGTGATTTGTGGGTA